CCTTCTGCCCTTCCTCCTGCTTGACTTCAGATTAACACAGCCAACCACATTGCTAAATTTCACAGTATTCATCAGCCAGACCTAATGTATAGAGCCAATATCTGAACCAGATAATTTTTTATCTGGGTTTTGATGTCAGACACTAGCTGAGCTCAGGGAGAATCTAAATTTGTCAACTGCATTTGGGGTCTATCCTGTAGTCCCCAACTCTGCACGTTGCAAAGACAGGCAGTTGAAGTGGTGTTTTTTTCTTTAGGAGTTTGCATCCTGGGAAATGTCCAGCCCTGCCCAAATCTCACCAACTCACGCTCATCCTCCAGTGCAAAGCAAAGTGCATGTAGCAGGTTTGTTAGCAGAGGCCTGCACCAGTGTCCACACATCTGGCTGTAGGTGTCTGCAGGCTTGCAGGGACTGCAGCCCAGCTGTAGGGAGTGAGGCCTGATGACAGGTCTGTCCAGAGAACTGGGCCAGCTGATGGGGATAATTGTCTGGCCGCAGGAAGCTGAGGGCCAGCAGAGGAGAGAAGCCAGAAAGCAGAGACAGATAGAAGGGAGAGTAAGAAGGGAGTCAGAGGCAGAGAGAGTTGCTTGGCCAATGGCTGCAATACTGGACCAGGGGTCTGGGGAAAGACCCAGGGATTGTGTGGCTGGAAGCAGGAGCACTGCACCGGGGAACTCGAGCCCGAGCGAGAGCGAGGATGGCAGTGCTGAGAGAGCAGCAGGGAGCTGGAGTCACCTTCTCAAGAGGTCTGAGAAGAGACCTTGGGACTGGGAGGTATGCTTTACGGATATATTGTGTGTTCTTGATCACTGACTGTGACAAGAGGGCTCCTGTGAGGCAAGTGTGCCTGGAAAATAAAGGGCTGAGCTGTGCTTGGAGACCAGGAGAGACTTGGTAAAAGATTATTTGAGTTGAGCAATTCCCTGAACCCGCTACAGTGCACAACTTATGTGGGGTGTTGGTTGTAGCTGTGCGGGCCTAAAGACCTAGGCAGGCATGGTGTTTCTACCGAAAAGTCTGCAAAACAGAATTTTTCCAACTATTTTAGTGGGTCTAATAAGAGACCAGATTAACCCAAAGAAACTTATCCACCTATTTATTTTTGTCCACTTGAGTTGACTTCTAAAAACTAGCGGTTACTGTCTATCTGTCACCAGATGGCTGCAAGATTTGAACAAAACATTTAATGACCTAGGAAGATGCAATGATTAATCTGGTATAATATGTTATGTGTTATCAAGATGTAACTGTTATCTGTTATTCTAAAAGAACATTTATCTTTCCTAAATGATGAAGGAAAGATCTCCATGATGAGCACAGCAGGCTAAGCAGTGAGTGCTGGAAGAAAACATGTTATTACATAACTTCTAATTAGGGATGTGTCCTGCAAACCACTGGAGATGGAGGCTCCAAGGGACTTGAAACTAATTTGCTACCTCATTACTAATGATTTTTATTGAGGCTTTGAGACCATATTTTCAAAGGTACTTATGCAGCAATTGATGTCTAGACACCAATAAAGAGAGAACCCTGAAAATACTGGTAGGCACTTACTTGCATGCTGGGAGGCACATTAATACCCCCTTCAGGTCCACCCATAATTCACAGAAAATGGGGTTTTTATGACCCTGGAGGTCATCTAGTTCAGCCTCAATTTCTGTCTCCCTCAGGATCTTCTGGAAACTGTACTGAAATGGGTCCCATTCAGTGCTTTAAAGCTACTGAATGACTAAAATGAAGACTACTCCTAAAATTTTTGCAGGATTAAGAGCTTACATGGGACAACAACTTTATGCAGTGCTCCTAAAACATGAGGCCCCTCCTTCAGACAGTTATTGATATGATTCACTCTTACTCTGCATAAGTAAATCCCCATGCACATCTGCCGGTTCAGGAAAATATATAAAAAAAAAAAAAGTTCTAATTTCAACTCAATATATCTTTTGATCTCGTCTCTACTGGTACATCTCTACCCGCTGTCCTCATAGGTGGTGTGTGCCCAACTATTGCTGATGTATTTATCTTGTTGGGCAAGGACATGCTGTCATCCCCACTTTAAAGAGCTGAGAAAGCAAACAACCTAGCAAGCTCCCAAGCTTCCAGCTTTATGCAGTGCTCCCCAACCACGTGGCCCCTTCTTCAGACAGTTATTGATATGATTCACTCTTACTCTGCATAAGGTCATCTCCACATACATCTGCAGGATCAGAAAAATGTTTTTAAAAAGTTCTAATTTCAACTCAATATATCTATCAGTCTTGTCTGGTACATCTTGTACTGATACATCTCCACCTCCGGTCCTCATAGGTGGTGTGTGCCCAACTATTGCTGATGTATTTATCCCTTTTGAAGCTCCTTTGAGGCAAGGACATGCTATCTTCCCCGTTTTAAATGCGTTAAGAAGGCAAACAACCTAGCAAGCTCCCAAGCTTCCAGACACCCCAGAGGATAAGACTTGTTATTATGGACCAATGGTTTGAAGTAAACCCTGCTCACCTCCATTCCTCTGTGCCCAGATTGCTCCCGGCTGGCTGGCTCCTGAGGTTTCAACTCCAGAGCAGAGCCTGGACTGCGGTGCCTGGTGCCCTGTGCTGAGTCTCTGGGGTCCCTGAGAAGAGGCACCCCTTGGTGGCTGGGCTCAATTTCTAAACGTTTTTGCAGAGGTCAGGGAGATTGTCTACTCCTGAGCACTTGCTTTATGGCAGCACTGTCTGTGCCTGACTAGGATGCTGCTTCTCCTGTGTTGGGTACCAGGAAAAATATGACTGGGCTGGCCAGATGGTTGGAGAGATGTTTACAGCCAGTATCTTTGAATCACAGGAGTCCTCCAGCCCAGCATCCGGTCCTGCTTGGAGTGTGAGGGACGGAGAAGGAGAGATTAAGGGAGAGCCCTGGGGAGAGGCACAGGGTGGGGGAACCATTATGTGCTTATGGTGTGAGTGGAAAGAGGAGGAGGGATGAAGAAAAGGATGTATGGTTGCATAGATAACTAGCAACCTTTATAGCTGGCAGCCCCTGCCTGTGTCCCCGGTTTCCTTCCTGCCCTTGTGTGCTGCTGATGGGGCCAGGTTTGCCTTGTACCTGGGAGTTAAACCTTCCCAACTAGCTGAGAAGAGTCTACATCTGTGTGGCTGCAGGAGGCTGCTAATGCAGCACAGCGTCTCCACCAACAACTCCCAAAGGCTGTGTAAGAA